GATCTCCCCTAGCTACGCCTCTGCCGGGAGCCGGAACATCGGGCTGCAGGTTATACCCAAGTCGGCCAAGGGCTTGGCGGACCCAGTGCTACACGGGAGCCCGGAACACCCTAGCAACCACGCTGAGGCCCGATATTTTTTTCCAGCGGTCCGGTACCGGGCCACAGCCCATAGTTAGGAAAACGCTGTACTAGAGTTCTTTGAGGGCATCAACAAGATTATGGACAAGGTAGATCTAGTGCATGTAATGTACTTAGACTTCCAAAAAGCCTTTGACAAGGTTCCTCACCAAAGGTTCTTAAGCAAAATAAGCTGTCATGGGATAAGAAGGAAGGTTCTCTCATGGACTGATAACTGGTTAAAAGATAGAAAACAAAGGGTAGAAATAAATGGTCAGTTTTCAGAGTGGAGAGAGGTAACTAGTGGTGCTCTGCAGGGGTCTAGTCTAGTCAACATATTCATTAATGATCTGGAGAAAGGGGTAAACAGTGAGGCTGCAAAATTTGCAGATGATACTAAACTGCTCAAGATGGTTAAGTCCAAAGCAAACTGTGAAGAGTTTCAAAAGGATCTCACCAAACTAAGTGACTGGATAACAAAATGGCAGATGAATTATAATGTTGATAAATGTAAAGTAATGCATAGTGGAAAACATAATCCCAACTATGCATACAAAATGATGGGGACTAAATTAGCTGTTACCACTCAAGAGAAAGATCTTGGAGTCATTGTGGATAGTTCTCTGAAAACATCCACTCAATTTGCAGCATCAGTAAAAAAAACCAACAGAATGTTGGGCATCATTTAAAAAGAAATAGAAAATAAGACAAAGAATACCTTATTGCCTGTATATAAATCCATGGTGCACCCACATCTTAAATACTGCATGCAAATGTGGTCACCTCATCTCAAAAAGATATCTTGGCATTGGAAAAGGTTCAGAAAAGGGCAACAAAAGTGGATTAGGCATTTGGAACGTCTGCTATATGAGGAGAGATTAAAAACACTTTGGTTTTTCAGCTTGGTAAAAGAGAACTATAAAATCATGACTGGTATGGAAAAAGTGAATGAAGAAGAGTTATTTACTCCTTCCCATAACACAAGAACTAGGTGTCACTAAATGAAATTAATGGGTAGCAGGTTTAAAATAAAAAGGAAATACTTCTTCATACAATGCACAATCAATCTGTGAAACTCCTTGCCAAAGATGTTTTGAAGTCCAAGATTGTAACACGGTTCAAAAAAGAGCTAGATAAATTCATGTCTGTACTCAAATGCAAGAAGCCTGAGGAACAAGCAGGAAGAATTGGAAGCCCTGGCACAGTCAAACAACTAACAGAAGCTTCCAGATTACAGACCCTGCTTCTCATACAGGACTTCAATCACCCTGACATCTGTTGGGAGACCAATTTGGCCACACACAGAAAACCCAGGAAGTTTCAGGAGATTGTTGGGGGCAACTTCCTGGTGTAAAAGTGCTGACAGCAAAAACCAGGGGCCATGCGCAGCTTGAGCTGCTGCTCACAAACAGGGAGAGAAAGGAGAGTAGCAAAATACACACCCCGGACTTCAGAAAAGCAGACTTTGACTCTCTCAGGAAACTGATGGGCAGGACCCCTGGGATGCTAACGAAGGGGAAAGGAATCCAGGAGAGCTGACTGTATTTTAAAGAAGCCTTATTGAAGGTGCAGGAACAAACCACCCTGATGTGCAGTAAGAAAAGAAAATATGGCAGGCGACCAGCTTGGCTTAGCACTGAAATCCTTGGTGAGCTTAAACACAAAAGAGAAGCTCACAAGAAGTGAAAACTTAGACAGATGACTAGGGAGGGGTATGAATACATTGCTTGAGCAGGCAGGGGTGTAATCAGGAAGGCCAAAGCGCAACTAGAATTGCAGCTAGCGAGGGACATGAAAAGTAACAAGAAAGGTTTCTACAGGCATGTTAGCAATAAGAGGGTGGTCAGGGAAGGTGTGGGACTCTTACTGGATGGAGGGAGGTAACCTAGTGACAGATGATGTGGGAAAAGCTGAAGTGCTCAATGGTTTTTTTGCCTCTGTCTTCACAGACAAGGTCAGCTCCCAGACCGCTGCACTAGGCAGCGCAGTAGGAGGTGAGCAGTCCTCAGAGGAGAAAGAAAGGTTAAGAACCGTTTAGAAAAGCCTGACATACGCAAATCTAATGTCGGATCTAATGCATCCAAGGGTACTGAGGGAGTTGGCAGATGTCATTGCAGAGTCTTTGGCCACTAACTCTGAAAACTCGTGGCAATTGCGGGAGGTTCCAGACAACTGGAAAAAGGCAAATGTAGTGCTCATCTTTAAAAAAGAGAAGGAGGACAATACAGGGAACTACAGACTGGTCAGCCTCACCTCAGGCCCAGAAAAATCATGGAGGGGATCCTTAAGGAATCCATTTGAAACACTAGGAAGAGGGGAATGTGATCAAGAACAGTCAATGTGGATTCACCAAGGGCAAGTCATGCCTGAGCAACCTGATTACCTTCTATGACAAAGTAATTGGCTCTGTGGATATGGGGAAGGCGAGGGACATGATATACCTTGACTTTAGCAAAGCTTCTGATACAGTCTCACACAGTATTCTTGTGAGCAAGTTAAGGAAGCATGGATTGGATAAATGTACTGTACGGAGCATAGAAAGTTGGCTAGACTGTCAGGCTCAACAGGTAGTGATCAATGGCTCAGTGTCTGGTTGGTATCAAGTGGAGTGCCCCAAAGGTCGGTTCTGGGGCCAGTTTTGGTCAACATCTTTATTAATGACCTGGACGAGGGGATGGGTTGCACCCTCAGCAAGTTTGCAGATGACACTAAACTAGGGGGAGAGGTAGAAAAGCTGTAGGGCAGGGATAGGGTCCAGAGTAATCTAGACAAATTGGAGGATTGGGCCAAAAGAAATCTGATGAGGTTCAACAAAGACAAGTGCCAAGTCCTGCATCTGGGATGGAAGGATCCCAAGCATTGTTACAGGCTGCGGACCGACGGGCTAAGCAACAGTTTGGCAGAAAAGGACCTGGGGGTTACAGTGAATGAGAAGCTAGATATAAGTCAACAGTGTGCCCTTGTCGCCAAGAAAGCTAGAGGCATATTAGGGTGCATTAGGAGGAGCATTGCCAGCAGATCTGGAGAAGTGATTATTCCCCTTTATTCAGCACTGGTGAGGCCACCCCTGGAGTATTGCGTCCAGTTCTGGGCCCCTCATTACAGAAAGAACATGGACGCATTGGGAAAAGTCCAGCAGAAAGCAACAAAAATCATTAGAGGCTGGAGCACATGATTTACGAGGAGAAGCTGAGGAACTTGGGATTGTTTAATCTACAGAAGAGAAGAGCGAGGTGGGATTTGATAGCAGCCTTCCACTTCCTGAAGGGAGGTTCCAAAGAGGATGGAGAGAGGCTGTTGTCAGTGGTGACAGATGGCAGAATGAGGAGCAATAGTCTTGAGTTACAGTGGGAGAGGTCTAGGTTGGATATTAAGAAAAACTATTTCCCTACGAGGGTGGGGAAGCACTGGGATGGGTTCCCTAGGGAGGTGGTGGAATTTCCATCCCTAGAGTTTTTTAAGTCCCGGCTTGACAAAGCCCCGGCTGGGATGATTTAGTTGGGATTGGTCCTGCTTTTAGCAGGGGGTTGGCCTCACTGACCTCCTGAGGTCTCTTCCAACTCTATGTTTCTGTGGAGGTTAGGTCCATCAATGGCTATTAACCAGGGTGGGTAGGAATGGTGCCTCTAGCCTCTGTTTGTCAGAAACTGGAAATGGGTGACAGGGGAGGGATCACTGGATGATTGCCTGTTCTGTTCATTCCCTCTGGGGTACCTGGCATTGGCCACTGTAGGCTAGATGGACCTTTGGTCTAACCCGGTATAGCCACTCTTCCGTTCTTTGTCTAATTTTGCACGTCAGCGGCCGCCATCTTGACCAACAACTGGGGCTTAAACCAGGGACTCCAGATCTAAAATGCTAAATGGCTATAGTTTAAGCTAAAGCTCTCTATGTAGGGTTGTAATAACTCCCATTCTCGGTGAATCTGGCACAGCAAGGGACCTTGAACACGTAGTCTTTGGTGGGTCACGTCAGCACCCATGTGTCAGCTATATCTTAACTGCAGCATCTTTGTTACTGGGCAAGATATATGAGCTGGAACCAAACTAGTTTGCCTCCCAGAGAGCAGGTTGCAGGCCTGGCTTTTAAGAAAAATCATCTTTTCTCTTAAAAAGTCAATTTTGGCATCATAAGCCCCTCAAAAGGCACATGCCGGATAAAAAGCACATTCTGAAAAATACGCTGGGAATGTAGCATGAGGCTGAGAATGCTGCAGGGACAGCATTTCTATCCCCCCTCCCCCCACATTAATTTATTCACTGGCGCATTTAGCTAACGAGCCGTGGAATATTCTTCTAGGGCCTTTCCACGGAGGAAAAAGTAACAGCTAGGCCCCTTGATTTCAATGCACTGCAACAATGGCGTCAGCATTATGTACGCTTCATGTCTGTAAGACTATAGAAATTCCCTCCGTAATGTGCTATCTCCCGTGCTCACCCCATGACAAAAGGGCCATTGACTTCAGTGGGGTGCAGGATGGGGCTGTGAGGGCCAGCTCCAAGAAAGCACACAAACCTGGGGTGTAATCTATCCCTACTCGCCCCCGCATGTCAGTCAACGGGCATTACGACAACTGCGTCAAGGAGCAAATTCCTGAAGGCATTAGGGCTTTGCCAAACAGCGATGGGTATAAGTACATGCTTAAAATTAAAGCCAACCATGTGCTGAGCGTTGTGCTGAAGTGAGGCTGAACACCCTCATGAACACCGTCACCATGTAACGGCTAAATCAGAACAGGGTTGAACAATGCAGCAGACAGTATATACGGGCCCAGTTTCTCAGTGTGCCAAGCTGATAACGGGGCCTGCAGCTGTTAGTGGGCTCAGTCCCTTCACGCACACTGGAATACCCACCCCTCGATGGAAATGTGAAGATTCTTACTATAAAGCACATCAAACACTTCCTCTACCATCTTCCTGAGTAGGTAAACGTCTGATCCCTGATGCGGGGAGACCCTTGGGATGCTCCGGCCACACTCCTTGGCCTTCTTCTGGAAGTCTGCCTCCTGCTCTTTCCTCTGCTGACCTCCTGCAGAGAGAGAGAGAGAGAGAGAGAGAGAAAGTGAAAGTGCCCAGAAGAGGGGGGTGGGGTTTGATCATGATGGCTCCCCCCATCTCCGTTAACTGACCATGATGCCCACTGGATTCATGGTCCTTGGCAGATTTGCTTGTCAAGCATTCTGGATTTAAAAGGCCTGGGTTTCACAACTTCAACGTGCCTAAAATTCCAGCAAAAGCCGAAGATGGCTGCCACCACTCCGCTCTCCAGCTATGCAGTGTATTCCTGGGGATAAAACTCATCCCAATCCCGTAGAACTGCCCAAGTCCCTATACACCCCTTCGGATCCAGCACTGGCAGTCAAATCCACCCCTGAGCTGAGGGACAACACAACACCATGCACCAGGGTATTCCTACCTGAGCACAACTCGCACGGGGCGAGAAGTGACCCAGCAAGGGCATGGTTCTCCCATCTGCGTAGGGGATTTGGAAACCAAGCTCCCACTGGAAATTAACGAGAATTGTGCATCCACATTCCTAGAGCGGCTTTGGAAAAACGTCCCACCTTTGCATTTGGAAATGCTATTGTGGCTATGTAAGAGCCAAAATGCCTCTGGCAAATACACTGGCAAAAGGCTCACTGTTGTGTACCAGCAACTCCCATAAGACCTCATGCAGCATTTATCCCAACAAAATGTCCTGTAGGGGGTTCAAAAGTGCATCTCCTACTGGCCACCGCAAGTACTGCAAGCTGTGTGCACGCTGGTTATTCGCGAAGTGTGGATCTGTACTGAACACGTGTTTCAACTATGTAACCCCATCAAGCAGATAAACAAGTTTTCCCAGAGTAATGTTGATTTAACCCATAGGCTTAGGTCTCCAATGTAAATCAAGCGTGATGGAACTCCAACACAAAGAAAGCTGCTTCTGCATATTAACGCAAAAGGAAAAGGAACAGGAGCCCCCCTCTCCTCGGTGATCCATGACAGAGGAAGAAGAACGAATGGTACAATGAAAGCTGGATCCTGGAGTAGGGGGCTGGAGACCCAAGGGGGTCACTTTCGGTGAGAAATGGAATTTAGACAATAATTTCAGCCTGCTAAAATGATGGTCAGTCTCTTAGAAGCATGTGATGCTTTTGCTTTAGTTGTAATCATATCTCTTCCGACTACTTGAGAGTACGTCTACAGAGCAACATTATTTCAAAATAACTTAGTTCATGTCTACACAGCAGGCAGTTATTTCCAAGCAGCGTCGAAATACTGTCAAGCTGGAGGACTTCTTACTATGACTCCTGTAACCCTCATTGTACGAGGAGTAAGGGAAGTCAGAGGAAGAGTGCTCTATTTCAAAATAAGTGCTGCGTAGACGCTCCCAATTTCTAATTAAGCTACGCAATTGACGTAGCTCAATTTGGGGAACTTATTTCGAGTTACGCCCTGCTATGTAGATGCACCTTGTCTCAGCATCACTTGAACGGTTCTATCACAAGTCTGAATTCTTAGTGGTGCACAGTCAACCTGTGGAACTCCTTGCCAGAGGATGTGGTGAAGGCTAGAACTCTAACAGGATTCAAAAAAGAGCTAGATAGATTTGTGGAGGTTAGGTCCATCAATGGCTATTAGTCAGGATGGGTAGGAATGGTGTCCCTAGTCTCTGTTTCTCTGGAGGCAAGTGACAGGAGAGGGATCATGTGAGGATTACTTGTTGTGATCCCTCCCCTTGGGGCATCTGGTATTGGCCACTGTCAGCAGACAGGATACTGGGCTAGATGGACCTTTAGTCTGACCCAGTATGGCCGTTCTTATGACTCAAGAAAGCTGGCGAGTACCTGGTTGTTTGGAGGCTGCAGATTTGGTCATTATTATGTGTCCAGAGATGGGCTAGGTACCACAGGGCAATTCTCTTCCAGAAGGCTCAGGAAACGGAGTGCACCAAGTACTACCTGCAAGGCATTGTAAGGGCTGACAAAAATCTGAGAAGTGTGCCAGGGGTAGCTAACACACTGGGGTAACAGGGATCATCCCCTGTTGTAGCAGCAGCTCCTCTCTCTCGTGTTAAAGCAGACGGTTAACAAGGGAACCTGAAGTCCCAGGAGCTCCAAGATAGTGTCACAATAGGACATGGGTCCTTGATAACCTTGCTCAGAGCAGGCACAGAGGACACAGCAGTAAAGTCACCTAAGTCCTATCTACACCAGTCCCTCCATCCAATGGACTATTAGGGACCCTTGCTTTCAGAATATAGACAAGACCCTGAACACTGGCAAAGCAGCATAATTGTCAGTGGCCCTGTAGCATTGCACCTTGGAAGCAGCGCAGAAAGAAGGCACCAGAGACCGGACTATACACCCCCTTTATTTACTGCATTAAGTGATTTTCCCTCCAAATGGATTGGTTTGGGGTGTTGTTGTTTTTTTAATGACAGAAAATCCTGCAAATTCCAAAAAGCCACACAGGAAAGTTACAAGAGCACGTGAAGCCATGCAAAGAAACTCCAATACATAGAAGACCGTCTCTCAAGGTATGTCTACACTGCGGCACTATTTCAGCATACTTCCGGTATCCTGAAATACCGTATTCTGTGTCTTGACAGCGTGCCCGTTATTTCGAAATAGCTTTCGAAATAACAGGCATGCTACTCGGACGTCCCTGTAAACCTCGTTCCACAAGGATCAGGGGTTGTTTCAGAACAGCGCTCTATTTTGAAATTAACTTTCAAAATTAGCTATTTCAAAATACAAGTGAAATAAGCTCCACAATTTCCATAGCTCAACTTGCATACTTACTTTGAGCTACGGGTGCAGTGCAGACGCACCCTCAGTGCCACTGATTCAAACCATAACTGGGCCCAATACACATATTAAACAGCTCCCATGCTCCTGCTGCATCCTCTCCCTATCCCACGTCCTCCCCATCCCGCTCTAGGCACACAGCCCGAAGAGTCAAGCCACCATCAAAGAACAGAGCAAGGTTCAGAACTGCAGTGTTCTCTCATGATCAATCATGAAAGAGCCAAAACTCACCCGCCCACGCCAATCCCGGATATGCCAACCTCTTTTCCTGATTTCACACGCTCAGCTTCATTGAAACTTTTGTGATTAATTGGCCAGCGGGCTTCTTTTCACTGGGTTCAATCTGCTTAGCCCTCGGTCTTTCTGAAAAAGCAAATCCCCCTTCCTTGAAAGCTTTCTTACTCTTCAGTGTTGCGTAGTTCCATAATACCAGCTACACCCTGCTAATTCCCCCATTAAACCTCAGCTAAAGCATAGAGTCAGCAACAATTTCCTTGCATCCCTAAATGCCCAGAAAATGAAACACCACACGTACATTATTGCCATCCTTTCCAAACCTACTCATAAGAGATTTTCAGTGGCAAAAGGACTAACTCTGTCATCACGGCCTGCAGCCTCCTGCCAGTGATTGGCCTGGATGCCGTTGGATTGCTTAAGGATCCCTTCTGCTTTTGTCTGACACAATCCTCTATGCAAATAGGAAACCCGAGTAATTGCTTTTTAAATCCAGCTGTGGTTAAACACCAGCCAGAGAAGGCAGCAAGGCAGCGACCAAAATGCACAGCGATAACTGAAGCTCCAGTTACCGTGCCCTGCTGCTCCCGAGTCAAGAGTCTCAGGTGCTCACTACCACGTGAAAGGCAACACAAGTAGCAAAGCAGAGTCTGGGAGTATGGGACAGGCAGAGAGAACAGACTCTGGTAAGCACAAGGACAGCGTTATAGCAGAGAGCAGGGCTCCTTTCGGCATCTGAGGAGCTGCTTTGTCAGGGAGCATTCACAGTAATATCACATTTGCATTTTGGCCTGGTTAACACACAAAAGTTGCAACAGTGTAACTGAGGGCACGTCTAGATCATGCGCAGCTTCCGAAAGAAGATATGCCAATTCGGATCAAATTTGCATATCTTCTTCCGTTTTTTCCCCCAGAAGAGGCTTTTCTGATATTTGGCCTGTCTACATGGGGCCAAATATCGGGAAAAAACCCTCTTTCGAAAGCCCCCTTATTCCTCCTAAAACAAGGTTTACAGGGGGCTTTTGAAAGGGGGGGGTTCCAATATTTAGCCCCATGTAGATGGGCCAAATACGAGAAAAGCCTCTTCCGAGAAAAAAACGGAAGAAGATATGCAAATTCTAGCCGAATTTGCATATCTTCTTTCAGAAGCCGCGCATGGTCTAGACATGCCCTAAAAGCGCTATTTTAAATTAACAAAGTTAAATTGGTCCAGAACCACTCACCTATCCATTTGAACCTGGAATACGCACACTTGTCTTGCGGCAGTACAAGTTACAGGGACACACCAAATCAATATAAGTCTGGCCACACAAGGCTCATGCTAACTACATTGGTTTTTAAACCATTTAAGTTAGAAGGGGCAAACTATGACCCGTGGGCCACATCTGGCCGTTCTGACCTCACAAACTGGTCCCCAAGCTCCTGCCAGGGGACAGGGAGCAGTGGGGTGGATAAGAGGCAGGAGTTCCCTGGGGGTGGGTAGCACGAGGTATGTAGGGGCAAGAAAGGCAAAGGCACAAAATAAGCTCAGTCTAGCTACTGAGCTAGTAGGGTAACAAGAAAACATTCTACAAATATATTAGAAGCAAGGGGGAAACCAAGGACAGGGTAGGCCCACTGCTCAATGAAAAGGGAAAAACAATAACAAAAAATGTGGAAATGGCAGAGATGCTTAACAACTTCTTCGTGTTTGTTTTCACCAAGAAGATTGGTGGTGACTGGACACCTAACGTAGTGAATGCCAGTGAAAACTGGGTAGGTTGAGAAGTTGAAATAGGAAAAGAACAAGTTAAAAATTACTTTAAAAAGTTAGATGTCTTCAAGTCACCAGGGCCTGATTAAATGCATCCGAGAATACTCAAGGAGCTGGTCGAGGAGATATCTGAGTCACTAGCTATCATCTTGGGAACGATTCCAGAAGAATGGAAAAAGGGCAAATCTAGTGCCTATCTATAAAAAGGGAAATAAGGATGGCCCAGGAAACCACAGACCAGTTGGCTTA